ACAAAAGTTAATAATATACCTAATGTTTATTTATCAAATTTTATATAATAAACGTAGCTCATTTGAGCGTCAAAAAGTAAGTATTGTAATTTTATAATCTACCTTTATTAGTTTTTTGTATAGAAATTTTATTAAATTGAACTTTAGAATTACCCAAATCATAAAAATCCCTATATACCTATATACCATTTACGGAAATAATGAAAACTGTGATAATAAAATATAAAAATAACTAAATGTTATACTTACAATGAAAGTATACATAAAGAATTTATATATTAAGAATACATTCAATTTAAATTCTAAAAATAAACTAATTTTTTAATTTTATTAATAGCCAATTCAGCTCAGGTTATCGAGGTATTATTTAGATTTGAATGTTTATTATTTTAAAAACGATTCAGAACCATTTATTTTATCTAAAAATAATTGTGAAACGTTTTTGAAATATGGCTATTGTACTTTTTTACCTAGATTTTCTTAAAATTAAAACCAAAAGTTTGAATAAAATACACATAAAAAGTGATACAATTTATAATATTTATCTCCACTTTATAGAAATGCTTATTATAGATTGAAATTGGTAAGGTTCTTAATTCTAAAAGAAGTATAAATTGACATGAATAAAAACATAACTATTTAAATTAAGAAAAATCAAATAAGTCTTATTTAACTAATCTGCATTTATTAAATTAAATGTTTTTTTCTCCTATAAAATTTACTATTTGGCATGAAAAATTTTTGGAATTTAGGCTAACGATAAGCATCGCTCCACTAAGAATTTAAAATCTAATACGTTTAAAATCATTTTATAAATATAATTTTGATTTAGGTAACTTCATAATAACAAGTATAATAATGAATTAATAGTTATAATTATTATTATATTACTAAATAGATAATAAACGTGAATTTGTATCGAGTATAACTTTTCTTAACACGATGTTTGAATTAGGTACTAATAAATTAAACTTTTATTTAGCAGCTTTTGAATTTTTGCAATATTTGATTTATTAGATATTTTTAGTTCATTTTTTCTTTCTTTTATATGTTTTTTAATATTTTTTAATAACTTCATTGATTGAAAATTTTTACATACATTTTTTAAATTATTTTTTTTTTTTTAAATAAATAGCTCACACATTCTATACATTTATTGTACTAAATAAACAGTAGCTTTAATCTAAAATATTGTACACTTAATAGAGTTATAGATTTCTTAAATCATGATTTTTGTATAGGCACTTGCAGTGCATACTATACTGATTTTTGAAATTTGAATGCATTTTTCAAGATTTATAGTGCACTTTATGTTCTACATCACGAAATTAAAATGCATTTTTAAGCTATTAAAAATGCATTATATTCAAAGCCTAATTAATAATATTTAGCTCTATCATCTTCACCCATTTGACCATCCAAATTAGTATCATAACTAGTTACCGCTAAATGCAAAGTATAATAATTATCTCACCAAAAATTTACTATATATTGAACTTCTAATGCTTATAATGGCCGTGGTTAAATCACCAAAAAATACGACATAAAAAAAAACTAAAAACTTTCATTTCCTAAACACTTAAAAAAAAATAGGATGAGTAGACTCGCTGAAATATTATTGAAAAACCTGTATTCAAATAAAGCAAACTAAATCACTACAGGCAAATAGTATTGTAAGAATAGTAGTAAGTATATACATTTTTCTAAGATTATACATTAAGTATGTTTGATATATATTACTTGGAAGATTTTACAAAAATTGTGTGGCCGTAAAAAATATAACAAATTAAAAATCCCTCTCAGTAATATTTTTAGATCGTTATTTAAAATAAATAGACGATTATCATACATTTTAAGTTAAAATTTTTATCACCTTAGGAAATGTAATATCTATTTTGAATTTAAATATTTGAATATATTTTTAAAGTTCATTAACAATAGTTCTTCAATTGAAGCAAAATATATTATAAAAAATAAATAAATAAATGCAAAACACATCAAAACGTATTCTATGTATAAATTATCTCTTCATAACTCAAATATGTATTATTTATACATTTTTCATATCGTTCACTATTTTTTAACTTGTAAGTGGCATATTATAAAGAGATAAAAAAAAAAAACAATTGTGGTATTAAATAGATTACTATATGAAACCTACACGGCGTGTGATATTGCGTTTGAAGAAAAGTTTTTCGATTGCAGACTTTATGTTGAAATCAATATTTACTGAAAATGAGCTGTACAAATTACAAACCAATCAAACTTTCAATCAACTTAGAAAGTATAAAACCACAATGTCTAAAACAAATTTATTTACCTAACTACACATTGCCTATCTAAATAATAAATCAAAACGGCCTCAGAATATAAAGAACAGCAGTATGTTCAAAACTTAAAATGTGCTTTCAGCTGAAAACAATATTGTAAAAAAAAATTATACCTATAAAAAAAATCAGAATGTCAATCCTTAGATCTATATGACTATATATCACATGTTTATCTATTTGATTGTGAATTTTAATAAAATATATAATCTACTTAATTCAATGTGAAACCGACCAAAGACAGATCTGTTAGCTGCCGGCCGGTTGACCGTTTTCTTTAATTACCTACTATACCTATGGTCTATGACTAAAAAATCGATGGAATCTATAAAATCACCATTTCACAAAATATCACTATCAAGTTCATATTTTGTCATATCATTTACACTGAAAAGAACATCATGAAAAAAAACCAAAGAATGCGTTTGTTTACACGTTTGCTTGACGTTGACTGAAATAATACATAAATAAATAAAAGCGGTGCACGAATAAGATGTTTGAACAAGGATTTGAAGGAATCATTCCTTAGGAATGAAATAGCTGAAGCATACTTATATATTCAGAGTTCACACACTTTCAAACTGATACCGATTCGTTTCAGTTAAAGTCGATTTCAAGTCGATTGCTTATACGTTTAGCGGGTGCCTATAGTGCATGTTTATACACAATTATTTTTGTTGTTTTTCGATTTATTTGTACACAAACACGTATTTTATGAGTAGATCCAATGAAATATTCATTTTAAAGTTTAGATTAAAATGTATGATCATTAAATAACTACCTGTTTTTACTCATCGTGAGTTGATATTTTTGTATTGCACGTTTTAAGAAACTGATTAAAATTATAATTCACTCCAAAAATGTTTAGATATCTTTGTAATTGTTTTTATGCTTTTCTGATGTAAATTGTTTATAACTATCGTTAAATTTGATTTAGAAATTTGAAAAAAATAAATAGATTTTCAGTTAAAATAGTGTGATAACTGATGATCAAACCACATTGAAATGGATAGAGTATTATTCAATATGAATGGATGATGGATCTACTGATTAAATGTATAAGTTATTCATGTTGGTGTTGCAGATAAACTCTGATACCAAAATTTATATTTATTTTAATCTGATACTGTTTTCAATAGTTGGTATATAACCACTTTGTCTGTGATTATCGTCCATCGATAGGGACTTAGATATAATAATAATGTAATAAAATGTGATACAAATATACGATACGTGTTTAAAATTTTCCGGTTTTATTAAATAATAAATGGACAGAATAAAACCAATAACAGGTACAATTAATATGCAATGGCCTAAGAACAAATTGAAAAATGATATTTAAAATTAATTTATAATCTCTATAGAAAATCTAAATTATATTCAGTTTAAAACGATTCACATACTCGTAGTACCTATACCTAGTAAATTTATAAGTATATGTGAATTCAAATTTATACAGGTAAGTTATTAACATAAATTAAGCTAGATTTTAATATTTTCGATAAAAGTTCAATCCTTTATATATTATTAACAATAAAAACAAATTTGAGTTTGAAATACTTGTTATAAAATTATTCGATATAACGAACAAATAAATAAAGTAAATAATTTTTTTATTCCCATTGCAAACTAATTTTTTTTTTCGTTTATACATTAAGATAAAAAATTTTGTTCAATTTCGGATTAAGTGGCTACAATTTAAGAATTCATAGCATAAATGAATTATATTTTAATTCAAAAACGATGAACTTATCACTACTTCAGAAATAAATATGTAGTATTATCAATAAATTTGATTTTATGATAATTATTATAGTTAGAATAAAAATTAGGTAATTGTATTGTTGATTAAAAAGATAAAACATTTTAAAATGAAGCATAATAATAAGTCATTTTTTTTTATTCAGGACCGTTATATTTTTAATAATTAATTTTCTTTTCTAAATAGGTACACAACTATTAGGAGATTATTCAATATTTGAAAATTTAAAGTAAAGTTTATAGTTTTTTTAACGGGAAGTTTTATTGTAAAACTTTATTATAGATATTAATGTTAAAACTGTAAGTAATAGTACAACTTTGATTAAGTGATATATTTAATATGATAAGCCTTAAATTAAATTATTTTTCATTTTAAAAAGAAAAAATAACGATATTAAAATAAGAATGATATCTAACTGACTTATTTGATCTTATTCTATTGATATTAAACTCACGGGTAGTTGGAAAAAGCATTACTATTTTGATTTTGCTCTACAAAATATATCTTGAATAATTGTGTTAAGTTTATTAAAAATAAGTTATTGTAATAAATATAAATTTCCAAATAAAATCTTTACAAATTATAAAAGTAATTAAAAATAAATATATGTTAAATAATAAAAATAAGATGATAAAAAACGGTAGACCTATTATAAGAATATCGTCTTAAATACTTAATGTAATAAATTATCTACTTTTTATAAGACTTATATACCTATAAGAATTTAAAATATTTTGTTGTTATTTATTATTTATATTAATATTCTATCAATATTTTTTCTATAAAAATAATAATACATTTTAATGGTTTGAATATAATTTTAATTTTTTTTAAGCTTATTCGAATAACGTTATTATTATATCATATTTGTTTGTTAAAGAAAAAAATAATAATTTAAATACATATTTTACCTGTTAAATCATGTAATCTAGGCCCAGCGTAAAACATCCCTGCTCTAGCAAACCACTCAAGTTGCATCTGTTGTAATTGCCCAGCAGAAACATTCGAACGATTAGGATTTGTTGTTGCTGTCGAAACTGTTGCAATTGTAGAGCTTGGTGAATTATTGGTGTTAGTATCTATACGTGGTAATGGCTGAAATGCTGAAGATCCATGAATAAATCCAAAACCACCATTTCGTCTATGATCACGGGTTAAAACGTCGGCAGTAGAGGAAGTGATCGGGAAGTCGGATTTCAAGTAGTTAGAATTGTAAGTTAATGATCGCATTGTTGTTGTCGAAATTGCATCGTTCTCGTCGCTGTGTTTACCTTCATATCCGAATTGCTGTTCCGGCCCAGGAGATATCGAAGCACTACGGCTCGAACACGGAGTAGACGAACAGTCTGATGATGCGGTCAATGATGTCTTGTGTGAAACTTCACGGTGGCCTAGCAACGCTTCTATACAAAATGAAGTTTTCTTCGACTTTGACGGAGAGTCAATTGTAGGTTTCTGTTTCAAATCTAACGGGCTTGCCGAATACCGTACTCTCGGGCACGAGTCTTCTTCAATATCAGACTGTGACATGATCGAATGTTTTACGTTATCAGTAATTATAATAAAAGTACTAATTAGTTAATAAAATTAATTAATTAAATTGGTTTTAGGCGAAGTAACACTATACTGCAGTAACAATTTGATGTGTTTCTACGGTGCACATGTGGTCGACTGTTACGAGATGGAGTTTATCATACGGAGAACGATTGTAAAAACCATTCAGCTACTTAACAGGGGGACGAGGGTTGGCGATACAGCTACCAGTGCATAGGGTGAGAAAAGGGAAATGAACGGAACGACCTTATTGGTTGCCGTTTTGTATAGAGGGCCACGCCTCTATCTCTTATTCTTTGGTAGTTGGCATATATGTGGGGTTACGGGCTTTTAACAACTTGTTAGTATCTTTACCAAACGCATTGGTCGTATTATTTGGCTTATTCATTTCTGTTCACGAGAACGATGTGATTTTATATCGTATTATTTATATGGGTTTTTATTTTATTATTTTTATTTTTTGTCACGCTTATAAATCTAAAAAACATTACTCGCACAGCCAAAAATATGAGAAACGAAATTACGAACAACACTGTTCTTGTGTTTAAGATTTTTTTTATACGAGCTTTAAAAAATAATCACCATATATCGATGTATTTATACAATATATTATGTTATATTTTTATTGCACTAATTATTATCAATCAATAAATATTAAGTATACTTATTATACTGAGTTGTTTATAAAAAATTACTGGTGTACGTTGTACAGTGATTTGCTCTTCTATTACAATTAAAAGTTCACATTAATTATTTTAACTTTTTAATTTACACTTTTTTTTTATAATTTCTCGTTGTATTGCCACTTTATTCTGAATTTTAATTTGAGTGCATTTATGCACTGTATTACTGATTTAAACTATCGTCATGATATGTACTTACGTAATTTAATAAATAAACTTTTATTGATCCACGTAAATGCGGCTTTACAGTCAACATAAAAGCTGAAAGGATTATTTTTATCCGTATATTCTTGTTCTTGTTCCAAGGTATTTTACTAAATTTACAAAACGAAAAAAATATATGCAATTTTATAAATAAACTTATACAATTATATTGAACTTATAGCAAATATGTACTGTTAGATATTACTAACTTACTTATAGTTATTATGATATAATTAGCAGTTAAATTGTATTTCATTGTATTATACCTAATAGTCGGCTGAGGTATATATGTTTTAAAAGATGACGTTGTTCCGTTATTGGATACCTACCCATTTCGAGGCTTACGTTCTATTTTTTTAGTTTACGAAACTATATGTTGAGTAAACAAGTGTATTTGTGCCTTGTTGGCGAACATCAAGCTCTAATATACCCTGCAGGGACTACGGGTAATAAGCGGCGGATCTGATCTAATCAGAGTCCGCACGGTCTGCCGAAAAACAAACATAGTTCTCGTAATTCCAGTCACGTACGAATGGGAAGGCTGGCGTGCGAGTATTAAGCTATTTATCGTTTTCCACGACGACTTATAGTTAAGTTTTGCGTCGTTTGCGCATGATAATGTATACGAATTCTCCATTGTGATCATTCGAATGAAATATTACAATTGTTTGAACTGAATAAGTTGTTCAGTTTGAGACTAATATAAACGGCTGTTTTTGAAATCGACAATAATTTTCTTTTGGAATTCAATTTTAATGCTATCGCTTTACAGCATGTAATTGAATTGTTGTGTTATGGTTAGCGTTCATATTTAGAAACACGTCAATACGTTTATATTGATTGCTGGTATACTGGTTATATTGTTAAATTGTAGTTTGATGATTAATTTGTCAAAATGAACCATAAAACTCGTTAAATTAACTTAACAAAAGATCTGTAATGGTAATATATTACGAGAAAAAAGCTATGATCATTGAAAAACGAATATATCATATCATGGTACCAATAGATTACTGATGTATGTGTAGATCATTATCGTATTTAAAATAGGCATATCTATTAAGATAATATTATATTATCATATTAAAATGAAAATAATTCACAACGTCATAATAATTTGAAAACCACTATTCTCTAAATAATAATTAAAAAATAATAATTTTTAATTATTAAGCGTATGTGTATGTATTTATGTGTTAGGTGTACTAAGTTTCAACGACTATTTTGTGATATTTGTTATACTATAATGAATGCTTCTGTTTATCAAGACTTAGTGCGTAAAATATAGTATAATAGGTATGCAAGGATGACCAAGAGCTTCTACCATTTCTCTCATAATTTTAAATGAGGAATATATAAAAACTGATACTTTTTGTTCGTAGTCATTCTTCGATAAAAGTAGGTGTTTTGAATTTCTTTTTACATTCAACATCAATAAGATACCAATATTATATTTAATAATTTAAAAATGATTTTAAGAAAATCTAATAAAAGTATAATGTTAGTAGATATGCAATAATTTTTTAAATGTATTAAATATATTTAATTAATATATACTATTTTATAAATAATCACCCACTCAAATGTAATTGTTAAAATAAAGTTTTGAAAATTAAATTACTTATTTTTCTAAAAATAATGTATACCTATCATTGTTACTGTTAAATTAACAATTTTACGTAAGTTCTATAATGAAAATATTAGCTTAAAAAAAAAAAAATCGATTTATTTAAATATTCTAATATATCAGAACACATTTATCTTTGTTTTAAATGTTAAGTCTGTATTATATAATGCACTTACTTGAAACTATAAATTCCATTTTAATAAAAGATTAATTAAGATTTTAATCTTAATTATTATTAACATTTATATAATATCTACATTTTGGTATATATCGTATAAATATTGTTATTTTTCATTTTAAATGTTTATAACACATTGACACCAAATATTTCTTAAACTAAGCATTGAATTAAACATAATACATAAATACATTATAATTTATTGAAAGTACACATGATTGACTTTATAATTCATGTCATGTATCTAACATTTATAGGAAATTCTTCAATTCGATTGAATCCGTAAATTTATGTATTTAAACATTTAATTATAACGTATAAGACATTGTTTTATGCCATTATATGAAAAAGAATTAGTTCAACATTTCAAAATAAAATGATTTAGGTATTAATAGCGAACTAATTCAGATGAGATAAATAAATATAAACATTTTATTTAAGTTATTGTCTTTTTTACTTAGGTAAGTACAGAAAATAACGTTAATATTAATTTGAATTGAAGGAACTGAGTCAGGAGAAGGAACAGGCAAACAGCCCTCCTTTTCTCTAATCTATAAGCAATTAGATACATCTAATAGTAACCCATAAGTATAGTGGTACTAATGATATAATAATAAAGATAATAATTTAAAACTAATATTGTTTCATTGTTTCCGTATTAATTTTAATTTATACAAAAATCAAAATTGTATATATAATATGATTAACCACTATTTTAGATTAGCCTTTGCACAGAATGGTGTGTTCGAGATATCTTTATTTAAAATTTGAAAACTATAATTAATATAAAAATCCAAAACCGGTGTTTTGATAAATATATTTAATTTGTAGTAAATCGTCAGAAAATAATTTAAAAACTGAAAATAGTCACATAAAAAATATTTTCATTATTATATAAAATATAACCTTCACAAGGTAAAATTCATGTCATATTCAATTAATTATTTAGGCTTAGGAATTTTTAGCACTCGATTATTTAGTTTTTAATAGTTTAACTAGCAGTCGATTCAAATAAAAATCTTATTTGAAATACAAGAGATTTATCAATTCAAAATTGTATTTTATATGTTTTAATTTTTTTACTCATTATACAGCATATTAATGGATTATTTATCATTAAGTGTTTATACATTACCTATTCAACAAAAGAAAAAAAACCATCCATAAAAAATGTAATTTAAAAATTAAAAAGCCTGCAGCTTATGATTATTACTTATAAATTATGTATAAATATTGTGTGATTTTCTTATAAATTGTGTAGTCTTTGCATTTCTCACTATAGATAATAATATCCATATAATATATTTTTTTTAAAGATTGGAGTTTTGGATGATATTGATATGGAAACAATTATAGCTTTACAAAAAAATAAAAATTAATATTGTGATAATTTAACAATATTTACTTTAAAACATTAGTAGTTTATATGAAACATTTATTAATTTTTGGTTTACATCTGTGTATTTTATAGAGTATATAAATCACTAAGCCTTGATCACATATGATATAACTTTAATTAAATTAGTACAATATAGTAAAAGTACTAAGTATAATTTAAGATTATAATATGAATTTATGATATGTATAATAGTATTTAACTACTTATCTTAAAATTGCTTTAGAAATACGTAGAAATAATATATGTAGGTACAATGTTCATTATTATAATAATATTTTATGTCTTTGGGAATAGAAATTATGTGAAATATACCAAAATGTATTTATTTTATTAAATCAGAATAATAACACATATTTACAACCGCGTTTATATAAAAATAACATAATATTAAATTTAAAAATTAGTTCTGGGTTTTATATGTAAATTACACGTCACTTATTTCTATTATTATTTGATAGCTGATACTTTTAAGTAAAAACTTGAAGCAGAATCAGAAAAAATATCAGTACATTTTTTTATTTGCGTGTATAATATTTTAGGTATTTAATGTTGTATTTGTAAATACTAAATACATTTAATAATGGATACAGTATTAAGATAATTTTCGAAAAGACAATAAATTTTTTAATTAAAAAAAAAAAAATTTATTAATTTTGTTTCATTTTTATTTAATCGATAACATTATGATAAAAACTTAATAACTCTTACTAAGAAATTATTATTTTTTCAATTATGTAATAAAACCATAACTATTTTACGATCTTTAAGGGTCCAATAATAAATGTCAGCTCTATAACAGGTTATTTATTAATGAAGGCGTGATACTATAATATTCGCTTGATGTATATAAAACAATTCAATATAAAAACGATTCGTGATCGGCAGAAAAAAGAAGTCTCATTACGAAGCCGCCATTTTGAAATGATGATACGTAACTTGGCACTGAGCTCAAGAAACAAAATAAAATCTAACGAAGCGTTACATAATTTGATTTTAACCTACGCCTCC